CTCTCTCTCTTCCTCTTTCCAAGAAAAAAACAACATCCAAAAAAAAAAAAAAAATTACCAAATTGAAGCTGTCAGGTCAGCAGTTGGATCCATGAGTGTGGAGGTCACTTCAGAGGGAAGGCTGGAAATAGAAATTTGGAAATCATCAGGACGCTAATGCTGTTTAAAGCCCCTGGACTGGATATGGCTAAGGAGACAGTGAAGCTGTAAAGTTAAAAGGGGCCTCGAACAGAGCCCTGGGACGTTCTGGCACTTAGAAGGAGAGGGAGAAGGAGACAGGAAATTAGGGAGGTCTGAGGGAAACTCAAGACTGAGTTACGATAGAAGCTGAGGAAAGGGAGGGTTTGCATAGCGGATTACATATATCACCTCACTTCACTCTCCAAACAACCCATTTGAAAAAAGCAAGGTAAGCCCTGCCTCTCAACTACTGTGTGTTAGGGTTTGGGCCTGTGGCTTGGGCTAAGAAGGCATTCACAGCTGAGAGGAGAGAGAGATTCACGGAGTTTATTTTACTTTCCCGAAGGGAAAGGGCCTGTGCACACTAATGGATATAAAGGCGAAGAAATAACGGCCGCTATTGCCAGGTGACAAGGACGGGAGGAGGGTTTGGGGGCTGGAGTTGGGCGATATCTGGGGGTTGTCTTTGAAAAGTTTGTTTGTTTTTAGTGCAGGCAGATGTCCTGGAGAGGTGTCTTTGGCAGGATCTTCACAAGCCTGTAAAACGTTCTTAGAGCGAGTGTTCAAAAAGGGACCAGCTTGGGTTTGAAAGGAGGGAGTAGAGTCTTCTAACCAGAAACTTTCTGGCCCCACTTTCTGTGGGGTCGTTAAAACCGAAGGGAGGAGGAGAATGTAAGATGTAGCCTTGAAAGTAGCTTACCTTGTCTTGCAGTTTGAACAGAGGGGCTGTTTGAGTCAGGAGTGAGCAACCTCGTAGTTTAACTACCAGGTGCTTTTTCATACATTGTGGAAAAGGAAAGGAAAGGCCTGCTTTCCCCCTCTGAGCACTGAGCATGATTCCCAAAGAAGAAAAGCGAATCCGATGTTGCCAAGAGGGGACTATAGTGTTTATTGGGTTTTGCTCAGAGCCAATAATAGTATAGCTGACAGCCAGATTGGAGGAGGTTGCACAGAGAACAGGAGGTGAGGACAAAGAAACAGTACTTATTGGAGAACTTACATTGTACAAGGGAGCTGAGGAACGAGGTGAGTGCAGTGGGAATGTGGCCTCAGGGAAATTTGTTTTGTAAGTGGGAGGACCAGAGCCTGTTGTTTGCTTATGGTAGGAACCAGGAGTAAAGAGGGAGGGGGGGGAGAGTGATGTAAGGGAGAGGAAAGGGATCATGGAAGATGTGGCTTTTTTTTTTTTTTTAATGTTAATTGTATTCCATTTTGTTTTAAAAAATATATTTTTATTGATTTTAGTGAGGAAGGGAGAAGAAGAGAGAGCTAGAAACATCAGTGATGAGAGAGAATCATTGTTCAGCCACCTCCTGCCTCCCCCTAGAGTTTGAGTCTGCAATCCAGGCATGTGCCCTGACCAGGAATTGAACCTTGATCTCCTGGGTCATAGGTTGATGCTCAACCACTGAGCTGACCGGGCAGATGGGGCATCTCTGAAAAGGCAACTGGAGTTGGGATCCAGGGCAAAGCGGAGAGACCAGGCAACTTCCAATTAAACAGAACCAGAAACATGAAAGAAGAGTCGAAGTTGCTTAAAAAGGCCCTTTGAATGCAAGGAACAACATCCCATTCCAAACTAAGTGGAAAGGGGCATATTTGAAGATATACAAAGGCAAGCTCTGGACATCCAAGGATAGAAAATAAAGTGCAGCTGGCCTTGTTGAAAACCTAACTAGATCACTGAGCAGAGAATCTTCCTCCACGATTGGTGTGGGCCATAGCCATCGTCCTCCTTTTCTCTGTGTAGGTTTTCCTCCTTCGCCTCTCTGCTTACTCATGACTTTTCTCTTTGCTGTAACCTCTGCTTCTACACGGCATTTGCTTGCTATGGTGCTGAGTAGCTCTAGCTCTTTGTGATCTTTCAGTTCAAGTGCCATCATCCGGTAGTTGACCCTCAGGGTGCCAGCGTGGGCCAAAGGGCCTTCCATTCTCGGTCCCGTTTGCTCTGACTAGTGGGAGGATACGGGAGGCACATTGTATGTGCCTAAGGCTTTCCCTTACAGACCCTTTGATGTGGAGAGCAATGACTGGCATGTTTACTACAAGTAGGAACTTGTAATTCAAAATTGGATTACAGGTAGTATGTTAGAATCCTTCATAAGTCGGTTAAGTAAGCAGCAGCCCAAGTTAAGACTTGTTAAGGGTACACTTGTTATTGCACAGCTGATACTGAGGAGCACATGCACTAAGCAGATGCACTTGGGACTTGCCTACTGAGTACAGATGGGTGCTGGCCTGGGCCAGTACGTACACACTCACGTGGGTGGCCATGAGAAGCTCAGGAGAGTGAAAACACAAACCTTGCTAATCTAATGACATGGCTTCCAGGGGTGCAAATCTAACCTCATGTGGGTTCCTTCGTAGGTCACTTCCTTCTTTCCCCTGGGTGCTTTGAGAACTTTTTCTTTTTCATTAATTTTTTTTATAGTTTTAATAGAATGTGCCTTGGAGAGTCCAGTAAGCATGGCTCAGTGGTTGAGCATTGATCCGGGAACCGGGAGATCATGATTTGATTCCCGGTCAGAGCACATGCTCGTGTGGGCTCAATCCCAGTGTTGGACGTGCAGGAGGCAGCCGATCAATAATTCTCTCTCATCATTGATATTCTATCTCTCCCTCTAATCAATAAAAATATATTAAAAACACACACACAAAAGAAAACAATGTGCCTTGGAGAGTGCATCTTTGGATTAAGGTAATTAGGTGTTCTGTTTGCTTCTTGGATTCAAGGACCTAGTTCTTTCCATAGGGTTGGGAAATTCTCATCTACTGTTTGTTTGAAGAGGCTCTCTCTTCTCCCTCTCTTCTGGTTGCCTGTCATTCTAAAACTAGAGGCCTGGCACATGAAAATTAGTGCCCTGGGCGTGCGGGTGGAGGGGTCCCTCAGCCTGGCCTGTGCGCTCTCACATTCTGGGACCCCTCGGGGGATGTCCACCTGCTGGCTTAGGCCTGCTCCCGAGGGACAGAGCCTAAGCTGGCAGTCAGACATCCCCCTGGCAGCCTGGGAGCCCTCAGGGAATGTCCACCTGCCAGCTTAGGCCTGCAGTTGGATCTCTTTAGCGCTGTCTAGGAGGTGGGAGAGGCTCCCGCTTGTGGCTGAGCGGAGCTCCCCCTGTGGGAGCGCACTGACCACCAGGGGGCAGCTCCTGCATTGAGCATCTTCCTCCTGGTGGTCAGTGCACCTCATAGCAACTGGTCGTTCCCCTGACGTTCCACTGTTAGGATCGATTTGTATATTACCCTTTTATTATATAGGATTGCGTTTTCTGTTGATTTCAGGTCCCATAGAGCTCTTTCCTTTTCCCCCTTTTCTTTCCTCCCTTCCTCCCTCCCTTCCTCCCTTCCTCCCTCCTTCCCTATGTCCCTCCCTCCCTCCCTCCCTCCCTCCCTCCCTCCCTCCCTCCCTCCCTCCTTCTCTCTCTCTCTTTTATTTCTTGCTCAGGTCTCTCTCTTCGTCCCTCTGTGTCATTTCTAGATTCCTGTTTTCGATGTCACTAACTCTTTCCTCCATCTGGTCAGCTGTTGCCTATGCTCACTACTTCACTCTTAATCTCCTTGTGGTTGTCTTTTCTTATAACCATTATTTGTCAAATATACTTGTTTTTATCTGTGCTTTTGTTTATTATTTGCAATGAGGACAAAGCCTGTTAAATCTCTGAAAAGCTAAGTTCTTGGGTCAGTTTAAAGTTTTTAGATGTCTCTAGACTTATTACCTGGTGAGTTATGTTTGGACATAACTATCAACAAGATTATGTTCTAAATATAAGTTGTCATGTTTGAATAGTTATGCTTTCTGACCTCAGAGGACAGAAAAATCTCCTTTGTTCTTTGTCCTGTAGATTGTCCAATTTCAGATGAATTAGGTCTCTGAACTGTGACCTGCATTTTTAGAATTTGTTCTTACTGGCATTTGCTCTTAAGAACAGTGTGGGAAAAACTGAGATGTAGGGACGAGACAGTTATTCTTTTCTTTCTTAAAAAAAAAAATTATCTGGTAATATAGACCATGTTTATGTAAGGTGTGTTTGCTTCACACAAATCAGAAACATTTGTTAGTGAGTAGGGAAAAATAGCAAGTTTTACTTAAATATCTTTTTAAGCAATGAGGATGTTTTCTTTTAAAAAATATTCTTATTGCCAAAACCGGTTTGGCTCAGTGGATAGAAGGGTCCCAGGTTCAATTCCGGTCAAGGGCATGTACCTTGGTTGCGGGCACATCCCCAGTAGGGGCGTGCAGGAGGCAGCTGATCAATGACTCTCTCATCGATGTTTCTCTCTCTCTCTCTCTCTCCCTTCCTCTCTATAAAAATCAATAAAACATATTTAAAAAATATATTCTTATTGATTTCAGAGAGGAAGGGAGAGGGGGGAGAGAGAAACCTCAATGAGAGAGAATCCTTGATCAGCTGCCTCCTGCACGCCCCCACTGGGGATCGAGCCTGCAGCCCATGCATGTGCCCTTGGACAGAATTGAACCCAGGACACTTCAGTCTGCAGGCTGATGCTCTATCCACTGAGCCAAACTAGCTAGGGAAGGATAGTTTCTTATAGCGTTTTAAAATTACTTAATTTAAAACTTAAAAATTTAACTTATACTATATCAGCAATTTTAAGATAACATACATTTCCAATGAACAGTTAATCAGAAGAGTATATTACCAAGTGGTAATTTTTTCTCCATGTAACACTGATATGTTAACTAGAAAATTTGGAAATAAAAGTATAAAGCAGAGAAATCACTATATCATCACTAATAAGTATAAAATGATATACATTAATATTTTTATATCATAACATTATAAATATTTATATTACAGGAAATAAGATATGTGGAGCGAAGTTACGCATCAAAACCTGCATTGAATGTAAGTATAAATTTAAATTATGCTTTAAGATGAAAGAATTTAAAGGAAATGTAGTTAATAAAAATGCATATTTTTACGATTTGTGTATATGGGAGGGTCAGCTTGGGATGATGCAATGGTTAGAAATAGCTAAATATTGAAATACTAACCTCCAACTTACCATAAAAATGTTTACTCTAGTGCCCTGAATAATTTCTGCTTCTTTTTGTCTACTGTAAAACCACCTTCTCCCAAAAGCCGGGCAGTGTTCTTCCCTTACTCTCGGGGACCCTCATCTGTTGTATGTGACACATGCAGAGGCCACTTGGAAGACAGTAGGAGAGGGGGCTGACCGAGGCTGGGTGTTAGACAGGAAGGAGCATCCCCTGATCACCAAGTGCCCTGTGACGGAGTCCTCTCTCCGTTTCATGAGGGCCCCTAAAATGAATAGCCTTCTACCAGAATCTGGGGAACAGTTCTTATTTATTAACTTAAATGGGAATGTGGAAGGCAAGTGTAAGGATAGAATTGTTACAATAGTGTTTTGTAATTATTTAAGGGCTCTTGTCTACTTTTTCTTAAATTTCATATTAATATTATCTTAGTTATCATTTAAGAAACTACGGCTCTGGCTTTGTCTCAGTTGTGGTGTGGCCCTGTCTAGTCTAGCATACAGGTATTGATTCCTAGCCCAGAGTTCCTGTCAGCAAGGAAGCCCTTTGGTTAGGGTTATCATACAGTTAACAAGGATAATGTTATAATTTCTTCCTTTTTTAAATTTAATTGACTTTTTACAGAGAGGAAGGGAGAGAGAGAGTTAGAAACATCGATGAGAGAGAAATATCAATCAGCTGCCTCCGCACAACCCCTACTGAGAATATGCCTGCAACCAAGGTACATGCCCTTGACCGGCATCGAACCTGGGACCCTTCAGTCTGCAGGCCGACGCTCTATCCACTGAGCCACACCGGTTATGGCAATGTTATCATTTCCTAAAGTTTGACTGAGGAGTAGATTTGAAACTTAAGCTTCTGGTTTTAAACCTCCTGTGGAGAACCGAGAAGGATCAATGCCTATTTTATTTTATTTTTTTAAAAATATTTTTATTGATTTTTTACAGAGAGGAAGGAAGAGAGATAGAGAGTTAGAAACATCGATGAGAGAGAGTCATCGATCAGCTGCCTCCTGCACACCCCCTACCGGGGATATGCTCACAACCAAGGTATATGCCCTTGACCGGAATCGAACCCGGGACCCTTCAGTCCCCAAGCCGACACTCTATCCATTGAGCCAAACCGGTCCCGGCTTAAGCTTCTGGTTTTAAACCTCCTGTGGAGAACCGAGAAGGATCAATGCCTATTTTAAAGTAGGTTTGTTTTAAATTTTCGATTATATCTTAAATCATTAGGTGCCAGCATTAAACAGACTAGCTTTACTTCTGTTTAAATATTGAGATTATTGCCCACCCGGTGTAGCTCAGCAGTTGAGTGTTAACCCAGGAACCAAGAGGTCGTCCGTTCATTTCCTGGATAGGGCACGTGCCAGGGTTGTGGGCTTGATCCCCAGTTTGGGGTGTGCAGCCAATCAATGATGTTCCTCTCATCGATGATTCCTTCTCTCTAAAAATCAATAAAAACATATTATTTAAAGTTTTGATATTATTTTAATCTTTGATGATTAACTCAGAAAACTCTGTCTCTGGGATAATAATGTTTATGAATTATGTTTATTTAATAAAAGGTGATTTGGGTAAGATATTTAAATATACTAATTATTATCATCTCCTGTCTTACCAGGAAGTGGTCATAGCAAGTGCTACAAGGACACCCATTGGATCCTTTCTGAGCAGCCTTTCCTCCCTGCCAGCCACTAAGCTGGGCTCCATTGCCATTCAGGGAGCCATTGAAAAGGCAGGTCAGTGGTTGCTTTGCTTCTTTATTTTATTTTATTTTATTTTATTTTATTTTATTTTATTTTATTTTATTTATTTTTATTTATTTTTTTAATATATTTTATTGATTTTTTTTTACCCCCCTCCCTCCCTCCCATACATGCCCTCCCTCCCCAGAGTTTTATGTCCATTGGTTGTACTTATATGCATGTATACAAGTCCTTCGGTTGATCTATTATCTCCCCTAGATCTTCCTCCCCTCCCCACTGTAAATTGACAGTCTGCTTGTTGCTTTACTGTCTCTATATCTATCTTTTGGTTCATCAGTTTATAATGTTCTTTATTATCCATAAATGAGTGAGGTCATGTCGTGTTTCTCTTTCATTGATTGGCTGCTTTGCTCTTTGTGTGAAAGGGCAGTGATTGACTGGAACACATTTATTTTGGACACTTAGAAATGACTCAATGCCTGCATTTCTGAATTCCCTGGTAAAGAGGTTTTTGTACTATAGAGTTAAGAATGAAACTCAAAAACTGACAAGAAGGTCCTCCAAGATGGCTGCGCCCAGGTGAATACCTAGCTGCAGCCTCACACAACAATTTCAATAAAATACAACTAAAATATAAAACGGACATTATCCAGAACTACAGGAAAGTTGACTGACTGGAAATTCTACAACGAGAAGCAAGGAGAAAACCAGAAGGAAGCGCGGAGGAGCTGGAAAAGCCCAAGGTACGGAGACACGCGGCGCGCGGAGAGGACGGAGCCGGAGAGGAGGGCGGCTGAGTGCCTGGCTGGCGTTCCCTGGCGGGAAGGAGATAAACGCTCCGACTGTGCTGGGCCCCATTCTGACTGCTCTGAACCCCAGGCCTAGGCCAGACCCCGGGGACCCAGCTCACACAGAGGGAGCCGGGCTGTAAGGCGGAACCCGGGGAAGCTGCGAAAGGGGGTCCCGGCGGCAGCGTGCAGTGCGCTCAGAGAAGGGACGGCTGGCTGTGCCGCGGGATTGCCTGGCGGGAAGGAGACAGGGGCTCCAGTCTGCTCTGAACGCCACCTCCAACTCCACTTCCAACTGAACTGAGCCCCAATACTGGGCTCATTGGGGGAGAGCATTGACTGTTTGGCAGCAGGCGAAAATCGAGGGCACCTTTCTCTCAGAGGCGCCGGCAGGGAGCATTGAAGGACCCGCATAGGGCGGGGCTGACGGAAGCCAAAGCTGCAGGCTCCATCCTGAAACCCCGCCCCATCTGTAACTGTGAAATGCTACAAGGAAATAGATCACAAACGAAAGAAATGGAGGACAAAAAGCGGCTGGATATAGAGTTCAAATCTACGCTTATAAGGTTTTTCAAGAATTTCCTAGAAAAGATGGATAAGACCTATGAAGATATGAAAAGAAATCAACTAGAATTAATAAGGAGTCAACAAGAAATGATAAGGGAACAACAAGAAATAAAGAATACATTGTCTGAAATAAAAAATATTTTACAGAGTCCTAAAAACAGAAGGGAAGATCGCAAGAATCAAGTCAAAGATTTGGAACATAAAGAGCCAGAAGACACTCCTTCACAGAAGCTAGAAGGCAAGAAAATCCAGAAAATTGAAGATAATGTAAGAAACCTCTGGGACAACTTCAAGCGAACCAACATCAGAATTATGGGGGTCCCAGAAGATGAGAGAGAGCAAGATATCGAAAACATACTGAAAGAAATAGTGACAGAAAACTTCCCCCACCTGGGGAAAGAATTAGACTTACAAGTCCAGGAAGCGCACAGAACTCCAAACAAAAGGAATCCAAAGAGGACCACACCAAGACAAATCATAATTAAAATTCCAAGAGCAAAAGACAAAGAGAGAATATTAAAAGAAGCAAGAGCAAAGAAGGTAGTTACCTATAAAGGATCACCTATATGATTGTCAGCTGATTTCTCAACAGAAACCATGCAGGCCAGACGGGAATGGCAAGAAATACTCAAGGTGATGAATAGTAAGAACCTACAGCCAAAGATAATCTATCCAGCAAAGCTATCACTCAGAATCGAAGGTCAGATAAAGAGCTTCACTAATAAAAAAAAGCTAAAGGAGTTCATCAACACCAAACCAGACTTATATGAGTTGCTGAAGGGAGTTCTTTCAGAAGAGAAAGTAAACAAAGATAAAAATTATGAACAACAAATACGTAACTATCAACAAGTGAATCTAAAAACCAAGGAAATTAAAAAAAAAAATCTGATGAACAATAGTAACTGTTGAATATAATAGAATCAGAGGTATGGAAGGGGAGTGAACTGACGATTCTTGGGGAAAAGGGGAGAGGGGGGTGTGGGAAGAGACTGAACATAAACTGTGCACCTATGGATGAGGACAATGGGGAGTGGGGAAAGGGCAGAGGGTGCGGTGGGAACCTGGTGGAGGAGAGCAATAGTGGGGGGGGGGGGAAGGAACATTTGTAATAATATGAACAATAAAAACTTATTTAAAAAAAAAAAAAAACTGACAAGAAAAAGAAGCCATTCCTGCTGTACAATGTCGGGTACCTTACTAAATAACCACTAATTATTCCATTGACTAAAATATGGAAATGCATTTTTGTTTTTTGTTTTGTGAAAAAGGAATACCAAAAGAAGAAGTGAAAGAAGCATACATGGGGAACGTTATTCAAGGAGGGGAAGGACAGGCCCCCACACGGCAAGCAGTGCTGGGTGCAGGTACGAGGGATACATTTTGGCTTTCATACTTCAAATGTTTGACACGGCAAGTGGAGGTCATTTCAGCTTAAATGAAAAGTTAAGTGCATAATATAATTTAATACAAGTACAGACTTGTATTGGCCGAAGTCATGTTGTATACTCTATTAATTTTAGCTCTACAGTTTGTGTTTGAAGAGTATCTTTGTTTTTCAAAATTATGACTTGTCTGTTTTGGTTTTAGGCTTGCCTATTTCTACTCCATGCACCACTATCAACAAAGTTTGTGCCTCAGGAATGAAAGCCATCATGATGGCCTCTCAGAATCTTATGTGTGGACATCAGGTAAGAAGGACCTTCTTTCCTATGTTATAGTTAAAATAATTCATAGCACTAAAAGACACCAAAAATCTAAGCACATTCATGCTTTAGAAGTGCTCCTAAGTATAGCTGCTGTGTTGTTTCAGACACTCAGAAATGTCTAATGTGCTAATCCCTTTAAAATAGAGGTCAAAATGAAACCAAAGTGTCTTGTAATAAAAAGTAATTTTCAGCCAAGATATTTTAGTCTTCAGATGACCCTTAGAGTCTTTCTCTGAGATTCTTAGTAATTTCAAACATCATAAATTTTATATTTACCAGAGTAAGGGATTTCGTAATACATGAGAAGAAGGTGCTGACCCTGGGAATCAAGTAGTTGATGGACCCAAGAATTGATGACTGATTTGTAGTTCCTGTGTGCCCAGGTGCAGTTGTTAAATCGTACAGGTTTTCCATTGGCCTCTGGTTTAGATCTTCTCTTTACTTGGGATCAAGCAAGAGATAGCAGTACACGCTGTGGTTTGGGGCGACTAGATCCAAACTCATAGAAATAAGGCTTTATTAAATCTAGCCCTTTTTTCAGTGGAGGGAAGTGAGGTTGAGAGGACCACAGACACAGCCAGAGGGTTGGAAATAGAAAATGGATGTCTCTTTCCCTACTTGGTGCATCCTAGCTGATCAGGGCATAACGCAGCAGGATAAAAATAGATTGAGATGTTTGCAAATTGTTTCTTACATATACAAGAACCACAATTCTGTGTGCCCTTGATGATATTCCTGCTTTGCTTTGTTTCCATTGTAAGGCAAGCCAACAAAAAAGTATAGTGATATTTGAGCTAACGTATCAGAGACATCATAACTATTATGTGCACATGCTAAAACCTGACGGTATAGAAAAGTATAAAATGAAAGATAAGTCTTTTTTGTTCTCACACCTCTCTGAGTGTCTGACTTGTTTACCACTTCTGTATTCTGACACTCAAGAGCAGAGAACTTTGGGCAAGTTGTTTAAACTCTGTGCCTCACTTAATGTCTTGGAGATTCTTTCTGTATCAGCACATAAGATGGTATTCTATTGAACGGAACAACTATATTTTATGGGTCCTTATTGAATGAACACTTAGGCAGTCTCAAGTTCTTCACTATTTTACTTTATTTATTTAATGTTTTTTTTTTTTATTGATTTGGGAGAGGGAGAGAGAGAAACATTGATGTGAGAGAAACATCGATTGGTTGCCTCCTGTATGCACCCGACTGGGGATCACACTGGCAACGTGGGTATGTGCTCTAACCAGGAAGCGAATCCACGACCTTTCGGTGTATGTGACTAAGCTCCAACCAACTGAGCCACACCGACCAGGGTAGCTCTTCAAAATTTTAAATAAAGCAGTGAGTATCCCTATACATATATCTTTGTGATTTATACATATTGAATCACTTCCACGGAGGCAGTATAGTATAGTGGTTAAAAACAAAATCTAGAGCCAGATTAATTCCAAATTCTACATCTGTCTCACATTAGCCCAGCACTTACTATGTGACATTCACGGGAAATCGGTCAATAAAACATTAGAAAGTCATCATGTGGAAGTCTGTTGGAAAAATTCCTAAGAGGAAAATTTTTGAATCAGAAGATGTTAAAATTTTGATATTTTCAAATGCTTTCCATAAAAGCATAAAAGTTGAACCAGTTACAGTTTCCAAAGGTTGTGAGAGTTTGTTTGCCTACATATAAGTTAACACTAACATTGCATATTACCAAACCCTTATGAAACCAGTGGGTGAAAAATGGTCATGAGATTGTTTAGATGTTACAAAACATAAAATGGAAAAGAGTTTTATCTCAGTTGAATTTTTGTGGTTCTGTACCAAATGCTATTTGTACTACATTAAAATGCTTTTAGTATTTCTGTAATAACAGGTTAATTGATTAATATTTATTGAACTTCTATACATGCCAGGCATGACGATAGATATGATAGGTTTTTTGGACTCAGAGGAGCTTAGTGAGAAGATCTGACGTATAACTATAGCTACAATACATTGTAATAGTACTAATAAAAGCTATACACAATAAATGGAAAACATGAAACAAGGAAGGGAAACTGTTCTAAGAAAGGCTGGAAATACATGGTCAAGCAAAGCATGAAGTGGCCATTGTGATTAGTTTTAAAGGAAATGTACGTGTTTTCACACGCTTGTGCACGGTTCAGAGTGCAGAGGTGTTTGAATGGTCCTGGTTTCTTTGAAGACTTTTCAGCCAGTTCTGTGTGACCTGAAGGGCAGGTCCGGGCATGAGCCCGGAGAGGGAGAGGCAGATTGCACACTGCCTTGGTAATGTGCCATGCTGGAGTCCCTCCAAGGAGTAGGAGGCTCAGACATACATCCTAGCCAAAACACTCAGGTGTGTGTGGAGGACACCTGGTGAGAGGAAGGGCTGCGTGTCAGATTATCAAGCAGATCCTGTAGATGAGGAGCATCTCAATTGAGGAATAATAGGATTAGTTCTGCAAACTGAGATTATTTCTAGTCTTTCAGAAGACATTAAATTTTAGCAGTTTAAAATGAAGGGTGGGAAGATAGGAATTTCAGAAGATGGTCTTATATGAAAGATTCCTGGCAGTTTTAAAAAAAGATTTTTAATTGATTTTTAGCAAGGAAGTGAGAGCAAGAGGGTGGGGGGAGAGAGAAACATTGATGTGAGAGATAAACATTGATCAGCTGCCTCCTGCATGCCCCCCACCCTGGATAGAGCCCGGACCCCGGGCATGTACTCTAAGTGGGAATTGAACAGCAACTTCCTGGTGTACAGAATAACACCCAACCAGCTGAGCACCCTGACCAGGGCTCTGGCATTCATAACAATATCTGACTCCTTTTAAAAAAAAAATTGTTTATTTTTTCAATTACAGTTTACATTGATTATGACTTTGCATTATTTTTAGGTGTACAGCATAGTGGTTAGATAGTCACATATTTCACAAAGTGTTTCCCAGGTATTTCCACCTGGCACCATAGTTATCACAGTATTAGTGACTATATTTCCTGTGCTGTACTTCACATGAGTATTTTGTAACTTCCAATTTGTACTTCTCAGTCGCTTCACCCTTTTTACCCAGTCACCCAAGCCCCCTCCCCTCTGGTAACCATCAGTCCGTTTTCTGTATCTATGAATCTATTTCTCTTTTGTTTCATATTGTCCTTTAGATTCTACATAAAGTGAGATCATATGGTTTTTGACTTTGACTGACTTATTTTACTTAGCATAATACTCTCTAGGTCCACCCATGCTGTCACAAATGGAAAGGTTTCTTTTCTTTTTATGGCCAAGTAATATTCCATTGTACATACATACCACAGCCTTTTCTCCACTTGTTTATTGATGTGCACTTGGGTTGCTTCCATATCTTGATTATTGTAAAATAGTGCTGCAATGAACATGATGGGAGGTGGTAGTGGTGCATATATTCTTTCAAATTAGTGTTTTGGGTTTCTTCAGATATGTTCCCAGAAGTGGAATCACTGGGTCATAAAGTAGTTCCATTTTTAATTTTTTTTTGAGGGTCCTCCATGTTTTCCACAGTATGGAGGATCCTCAGTGGCTGTGCAAATCTGCATCCCCATCAACAGTGAATGAAAGTTTGCCAACTGTGGTCATTGTGGATTTATTGATGATAGCCATTCTATCATCAGAATTACTACATGTAGAGTGTTAACTCATGTCTGAGGAGATATAGCATAAAAAACATTGCTATGAGATATGTCTGAGGTTTTACTGCTTATGTTTTCTTCTAGGAGTTTCATGGTTTAGAATCCTTCATGTAAATCTTTTTACCCATTTTGAGTTTATTCTTGTGTATAGTATAAGAAGGCAGTCTACTTTCATTTTTTAAAAAAATCTATCTGTCCAATTTTCCCAATACCACTTATTGAATGGACTGTTCTTACCCCATTGAATGCCCTGGGCTCATTTTTCAATAATAAAAGACCATTTAGGCATGAGTTTATTTCTAGTGTCTCTATTCTGTTACATTCAGTTTTTGGCCTGTTTTGATGTTAGTACTATGCTGTTTTGATTACTTTGGCCTTGTAGTGTAGTTTAATGTCAGGTAGCATGATGCCTCCCTCTTTGTTCTTTCCTAAGATTGCTGTGGCTGTTTGGGTCTTTTGTGGGTCCCTATGCATTTTTGGATTATTTTATTTGTGTGAAATATGCCATTGGTATTTTTATAGGACTTGCATTAAATCAATAGACTGTTTTGGAGAGTATGGAAATTTTTGTTTGTTTTGCTGTTGTCCAAAAGTTTTTTCTTAAAAAATATTTTTATTGATTTCAGAGAGGAAGGGAGAGGGAAAGATAGGAACATAAATGATGAGAGAGAATCTTTGATTGGCTACCTCCTGCATGCCTCACACTGGGGCCTGAGCCTGCAACCTGGGCCTGTGCCTTGAATGGAAATCAAACCTATAACCTGGTTCACAGGTCGATGCTCAGCCGCTGCACCCCGGCGGCCCGGCCAAATGTGTTCATTTTGATTTGAGGGGCTTTTCGAGCTGCTTCCTTCTGAAGGAACATCCGCTGTAAGCCTTGCTTTTCCTCCGGGAGGCTCACAGAGGTCTGTCTGTGCATGGCTAATGATGGTGATTTTATAGCATTCTGGGCATTTCACTTCCATGAAGTAGGAATTGGGGCTCTGACTGGGCATGTGCTCTTGTGTTTCCTCTGTCTTCTGGAGAGAGACGAAGGCGATCCATTGTGAGAAGCATGTTGTGGTGGGGAGGTTGACACCACCAGAAATTAGTATGGACATTTTAATGATGTTAATTTTTCCTATCCATAAACATGGTATACTGTTTCCCTTTACTTGTATCTTCTTCAATTTCTTCCTTCAGTGTCTTATCATTTTCCAAGTTCAGGTCTTTTACCTCCTTGAATAACTTAATTCCTAGGTATTTTACTTAAATTTTTTCATTTTTATTCTTTTGCTTTTGTTATTTTGTTATTTTTTAATGCAATTATAATTGGGATTGTTTTTCTAAGTTTCCCCCTTTTTTAAAAATTAATTATGGTATCACATAATTGTCCTTATCCCCCCCAATCTCATCCCAAACCCCTCCCTACATATGCCCTCACTCCCCCCGCCCCCCCCTGTTGTCCATGGCCACTGGCCAGGCCCATATGCATGCACACAAGTCCTTTGGTTGATCTCTTCCCCTTTACCCCCACCCTCCCCTACCTTCCCTCTGAGGTTTGAAAGTCTGTTCCCTGCTTCTCTTTCTCTGGGTCTGTTTTTATTCATCAGTCTATGTTGTTCATCATTTCCTCTAGATGTGTAAGTTTCCCTTCCTGATAGTTCATTATTGGTGTATAAAAGTGCCTCTGATTCCTAGACATTTATTTTGTATCCTGCTACTTTACTGATTTATCAGTTCTAGTAGTTTTATTTTTTATATAATCTTTAGGATTCTCTATCCACACTATCATGTCATCTGCAAATAATGATGGTTTTTTCTTTTTCCTTTCCAATTTGGATGCTTGATATTTCTTTGTCTTGTCTAATCGCTGAGTAGAACTTCCAGTACTCTCTCTCTCTATAAAACCCTAAGATGCAAATAGAATGAATGGTGGAACAGCTGAACTGGTTGCTATGACATGCACTGACCACCAGGGGCATGCACAGACCATGGTGGGCATTGGCAGCAGAGCACAGAACATGGCAAGTTTTGGCTGTGGCGGGTTGTTGGAACAGGTGGGCAGTGGGTGTCAAACCAAGGTGCGGCGCCAGTTGCTGTCATTGAGGTGAGCCCGTGGTTGCTGAAAATTCTTTGTTCCTGCATGGTCCCACATAGCGCTCACACCTGCTGCTGGCACTGGCCATGCTCACACCTGCTACCAGTGCTGGAGCCGCCGCTTGCACCCCTGCCAGCACTCAGCGCCAATTGCTTGGCATCTTCAGTGGTTGTGAGCGGCAGTTGCTGGCCCCAGTTGCCACTGAGGTCTTCTCCACCTCTCCCTGCTCCTGAGGGGCGATTGGGGCAGCAGCCACCACTCACACCCATGACAGCACCAGCCCCAATCACTCCGCACTCTCAGTGGGTGCGAGTGGGGCCAATGCAGTCAGTGCATGGGAGCAGGGTTGAGGGCAGGCAAGGTACTAGGGGCCGCAGTGGGAGGGGCCAGGCAGGGGCGAGGAGGATGAGCCAATACCCACCCCTATGCCCCGCAGCCTTGTGGCCCACAATTCCTTTCAAGTTGCACAAGTTTGTGCACTGGGCTCCTAGTGTTGAGTAAGAATGGTGAAACTATAATAGAATGTTTATCTTGTTCTTTTTAAAAAAGTATATTTTTATAAAAATATATTTTTTTGATTTTTTACAGAGAGGAAGAGAGAGGGATAGAAAGTTAGAAACATCGATGAGAATCATCGATCAGCTGCCTCCTGCACACCCTCCACCAGGGATGTGCCCACAACCAAGGCACATGCCCTTGACCAGAATTGAACCTGGGACCCTTCAGTCTGCAGGTTGACTCTCCTTCCACTGAGCCAAACCAGTTACGGCTATTTTTATTAGTTTTAAGAGAGGAAGGGATGGAGAGAGAGATAGAAACATAAATGATGAGAGAGAACATAGATCAGCCGCCTCCTGCACACCCCACACTGGGGATCGAGCTCACAACCCCGTCATGTGCCCCAACTGGGAATCAAACCATGACCTGGTTCATAGGTTGATGCTCAACCACTGACCCATGCTGGCCAGGCTCTGTCTTGTTCTTAATCTTAAGGTAAAAAAATTTAGATTTTGCCTATTCAGTATGTTGTTGGCAGTGAGTGTCATATATGGCTTTTATTATGTTGAGCTATGTTCCTTTTATTCCCATTTTGCTGAGAGTGTTAATTATTATAAATGAGTGTTGGATTATATTATTTTTGTCTGCATCTATTGAAATGTTCATATGATTTTTATCCTTTTATTTCTGTGGTGTGTCACATTAATTGTTTTGTGGCTATTGTACCAATCTGCATCCCTGGAATAAATCCCACTTGGTTATGGTGTATGATCTTTTTTTTTTTTTTAATATATATTTTTTTATTGATTTTTTAGAGAGAGGATGAGAGAGGGATAGTTAGAAACATCGATGAGAGAGGATCATCGATCAGCTGCCTCTTGCACACCCCTACTGGGGATGTGCCCGCAACCAAGGTACATACCCTTGACCGGAATCGAACCTGGGACTTTTCAATCCGAAGGCCGACGCTCTATCCACTGAGCCAAACTGGTCTCAGCGGTGTATGATCTTTTTAATGTATTGCTGGATTCAGTTTGCTGATATTTTGTCAAGGATTTTTGCAACTGTGTTCATCAGGTTTATTGGCCTATCATTTTCTTTGTAGCAACTTTATCATTTCAGATATTGTATTCATTTCTGATGGTCTTTTTAAATTCGTTTTTATGTCATTTTTTATTCTGTGGAAGTTCTAAGTTCTCTCAGCATCCTTATAGTGATTCTTTTTGAACTCTAGATCTGGCAGATTGCTTGCTTCCATTTCATGTACTCCATGTATAATACTTCTTTTATGAAGACTTATCCTGCTCTTTTTGGGGCATTTTCTGCTGTCTCTCTGTCTCAGTAGGTGGCCTCATGTAGTAGGAGTTCTGTGGGACCCAGGGGCACCATCTCCTTGAGCACTAAGCTAGGAGCTCTCCCTTGTGTGGGTCTCAGGGTGAGGCCAGCGGAGTTTAGATTTAGCTGTGTGAAGAGAGCGCTCTGTACCAGTTAGGCTTGTGAGGGCAAACTGGCCCACACAATTCACTCTCTGACATCTGGAGTCCTCCTGGACGTCTGTACCACGTTCATAGGCAGCCGACTTCCCTGCAGAGCGTGAGCACGGCAGGGCAGGACCACTGGGGATTGAGAGGATGGGGCTATTGCATTGATACTGTGAGGAGGGGAGTGCTTCACCCAAGAAAGGAGGTGTTTATGGGCGAGGGATTCAATACAGGGATCCTGATCATTGTCCCTTTAGCTCTGTCCTTGAAGCCACACCACTTTTTTTCTCCAAACATGTGTAGTTCACTCCGAGCTGCCCTTCCTCCACTGGAGCCCAGGGAGTGTGGCTGAGAAAAAGATTTTGACTCCTGTCCTTCTCTGTTGATTTTCACAGCCAGATGTTATGTGGGCTCTGCTTCTTGACTCCTGATTCTGGGTGGTGGAGCATGGCATGGGCTCTCTATCCCTGAGGATTCTCAGCTGCCTCCCGTGAGAATTGTGTCTCCATCCTTCCTCCCAGAATCAGTGTGACTTCTGTAAATCCTTGGTTATAGGACTTCAATTAACTAGTCTTTAGTTGGCTATTCTGGCAGACTGCTCTATATTTTAGTTGCAATTGCAGTTTAGTTCTGGAAGATGAGTGTAACTCCCACCTACTCTGTTGCCATCAGATCCCGACTCTAACCTTAATTATCATTACACATTGTAGACCATTTCCTTTCATCAGGGTTAAGAGGGTACTTCTTGTATTCAATAAAGTTCATGTAAATTACTTGTGTATTGTAGTTGTGTAAAGGGTACAATGGGTTTGCACTTACGTATACTGACATTGTTTTTGTTGTGTTCTGCTGATCAGGATGTCATGGTCGCAGGTGGGATGGAGAGCATGTCCAATGTTCCCTACGTGATGAACAGAGGAGCAACTCCATATGGTGGGGTAAAGCTTGAAGATTTGATTGTAAAAGATGGGCTAACTGATGTCTACAACAAAATTCATATGGTAATTATTGCTTTTAAAATATATATATTTTGATTTCAGAGGAAGGGATAGAAACATCAGTGATGAGAATCATTGATTGGCTGCTTCCTGCATGCCCCCTACTGGGAATTGAACCATGACCTCCTGTTTCATGGGTCAACACTCAACCACTGAGCTATGACAGCTGGGCTTAAATTACATGTATTTTAAAAGTTGAATTGAAGGATGGGCTCTATAAATGTCTATTTTAGCCATTCATTTGAAGAAAATATTTTTCTGTGCTCATTACATCAGCTTGGCTCAACTATTGAGTAAATTGCTGCACACTGGAGTAGAGCATTTTCTCATTTCTAATAATGGATTCTATAACTATTTAATTATTTGCCTTCAAAATCGCTGAGCTAATTCAAGTAGTTGAAGATGAGACATGAGTGAAAAGTTACCTAGTACAGAAGAGTATATTTAAAAAACTGCTTTTTTATGTTGTGCAAAGATAATGTATATTTTATAAGGTATGCAAAGTTAGTTTTTTAAAAAAAATTTCAACTTTTTTCAGGGTAACTGTGCTGAGAATACTGCAAAAAAGATGAATATTTCACGAGATGAACAGGATACTTATGCTATTAACTCCTACACCAGAAGTAAAGCAGCATGGGAAGCTGGGAAGTTTGGAAATGAAGTTATTCCTGTCACAATTACAGTAAAAGGTAGAGTGATAATGTTCCAAATATATTTTAATTTTTAGTAGACTTTACATGTTGCAAAATTTTTACATTTACATTTAAGTTTTAGTACTTCTGTTAATTTTCACCTGGGGATATTTTTTACATTGATTTTTAGAGATTGTAAAGGAGGGGGAGAAACAGAGAGAGAAACATTGATATGAGAGACATACATTGATTGGTTGCCTTCAACCAAGGTATGTGCCCTTAACCAGAATGGATCCGCCATCCTTCAGTCCGTGGGCTGACGCTCTATTACTGAGCCAAAGTGGCTAGAACTAAATGGAGTACATTTTAATCTTTTTCATTTCAACTGAGAACACCGACTTTTCTGCTTAGTTAAGGGAACTGTTGCCATTTCAGATAGTTCAACCCAATTTAATATAGATTTCATTAAAATTTGCTCAGGCTTTGTAAATTTCTGCCTTTATTCATAGCTCAAAGAGAGCTCCTGACCAGCTCCAGAATAAACCCACAGCAAAGGTTCATTTACCTGGTTTAGGTTGCATTTCCATTCCAGCACGATAGACTATTAGGGCTTATCCAGCCTAGGGCAGACATCTAGCCCTGGGTCAGGAGAATGGGATCTGTGATTACCGAGGGAGATGGGGAGACAGGAGAACAGGATGTGTCTGAATAGAAGATGAAGACACTAACAGGCTACAGATGGTAGACTGTACAATAGGATTTACTGGGACTGTTGAAGGTATGATGGCATACAAAGGGAGGCACAGACTACTAGGCACCTAATTGTTGTCTTGATTGGTGATAACTTAAAAGATGTTTGTTTTAGGTAAACCAGATGTAGTGGTAAAAGAAGATGAAGAATATAAACGTGTTGATTTTAGCAAAGTTCCAAAGCTGAAGACAGTTTTCCAGAAAGAAAACGGTTAGTATTAAGAAATGAAGCATAAGAAAAAATGGGAGTATTTATATTATATCTAGTCTTGGAATTGCCTATTTTTAAAAATAATTATAGAAAACATCTAAGAACTATTTAACATTTTCAATACATCAGATTCAAGTGAAATTAAGAAAACTAATATTTATCCAAAGTATATTTAAAATTGTGTTAACAGTTAATGCCTTTAATAGATAAATCCTAGGAAAGGGATTAATAAACCAGCATTTGCTCAGTGCCATGCATGTTTCAGAGCTAGCTCTGAAAAAAATGTTATAAAAATTAACATAAAACAGCATTCTTACATTGTAATTGTCATAGTTATATATAGGTTTCCAAAGGGCAGGAGCTATCCCTCTGTATTTGCAACTTTCCGTGCATCTAGCAACATAGGCAGCACTAGATAGGAATTGCTTAATTGAACCAAGGGAACTCAGTGTGGAGGATGTTTTGAATTCATGCACGTTGATGCCCTCAGGCACAGTCACCGCTGCCAACGCCAGCACGCTGAATGACGGAGCAGCTGCCGTGGTTCTGATGACTGCAGATGCAGCCAAGAGACTCAATGTCAAACCACTGGCAAGAATAGCAGGTAGAGAATGTTCTGAACTTGTTTATTCCTAAACCTCTGCAGGCCGTTCCTGAAACGGAGTTTCCTTGTCAGTAATACATAATATCGAAGCTATTTGTAGCTACATAGGTTGTGCTTTGGGACAGAATATAACTAGTACATATTTTTAAAAGGATAGAAGCTATCTTAATATTTTTATTATCATTTTCTTTATATGATAGTAAGCTATAACAATCTTTTCCTATCATGGAAAATGAGGGGGTGCATGTTTTATTTTACCCGGGCACGGTAGGGAATGGTAGCCAGATAAAATCCCATATTCATAAAAAGAACATGGGATGAAGAGTCTAGAAATAAGAAGTCTAGATGTTCTTCCATTTATTATTATTTCTAGGCTGGACATACCCTAGATTTCCTTAAGCCTGTCTTCAGCTGTAAAATCTGCCTTGCCTTCTTCATAAGGAGTTAAACAGAAATTTTGTTACTTTATAAAAACCTTGTGACTAAATTTATTCTTTGTTTAAATTAATTTTAGCACTATTGATATTTTACAATAAATTCTTTGTTTATTGGGTGCATTGCAGGATGTTTGTTTTTTGGCCTCTACTACTAGTTACTATAATAAGTGGCATTGTACCCATTAGGACAACTAAAAATATCTCTAGTTAACACCAATGTCCCTGGAGGCAAATTTCCCCTAACCCCCCTCTCCCACTTGTGAAATTCAGTGGTTTATAAAGTGTAGAATGGAATAAATACATTTATATTTATTTCAGGGGATAGGAAATTTGCATTTTTGCATATTATACAGGGTGTCCCAAAAAATGTATACACACTTTAAAAACTCATAGATCAATTTTGAAAATGAGATGTATTTTAATAAGCACTACCTTTATAATTATTCTAAGTATGTGTATACATTTTTGGGGGGACACCCTATATATAACAGTTGTTAGACCTTTGGGTGCATATAAAAAAGATTTTAAAAGCTTTTTATTTTTTTATAAAGCATTTGCTGACGCTGCTGTAGAACCTATTGATTTTCCAATTGCACCTGCATATGCTGTACCTAAGGTAAGAACATACTCCATTCTGCCAAATTGAACAAAATAAACTGATGAATAAAATAGAACCAATCATTCAGAGGGAAGGAGGGAGCTGGGGTGTGAAGAGAGTACCAAAGAACATATATGCACACTTGCATTACCCATGGACACAGACCACAGGGTAGTGAAGGCCTGGGATCGGGAGGGATGTCGGTGAAGGGAAGCAAAAAGGTCATCTGTAACACTCTCAAGAATAAAGATTTAAAACCCCACGAGCTACCAAATGACCCAAGAATTCCAGTCTATGTATACCAGTATACCCAAGAGAATTAAAAAAAAAAAAAAGGCAAGAGTGCCTGAGGCAGGCTAGATGCTGAGAGTTAGAGAAGTAGTGCCATGTTTTGTCTGCGCTGCTGGAATAGAGGAAGCTGCTTGAATCCCACAGCTTAGAAAGTTACCTAAATCAGTGGTTGGCAAACTGCAGCTCGTGAGCCACATGCAGCTCTTTGGCTCCTTGAGTGTGGCTCTTCCACAAAATACCATGGCCTGGGCAAGTCTATTTTGAAGAAGTGGCATTAAAAGAAGTTTAAGTTTAAAAAATTTGGCTCTCAAAAGAAATTTCAGTTGTTGTACTGTTGATATTTGGCTCTATTGACTAATGACTTTGTCAACCACTGACCTAAGCTCAATGGAGGAAGAGAGAATAGTTTCTTGTTAATTTTACTATTGCTCACAACATAAAAACATCTAAAGAAAAAGGGACTAGCAATATTTTATAAAGATAATCATTACAGCCGAAACCTGATCATTACGCTCAGTGGATAGAGCGTCGGTCTGCAGACTGAAAGGTCCCAGGTTCGATTCCGGTCAAGGGCATGTACATTGGTTGCAGGCACATCCTCATTGGGGGGTGTGCAGGAGGCAGCTGGCCGATGATTCTCTCATCGATGTTTCTAACTCTCTATCCCTCTCTCTTCCTCTCTGTAAAAAATCAATAAAATATATTTAAAAAAAAAAAGATAATCATTACAGTCACAACACTTTCCTGCCTATGAGGAACTACCAAAACAAGAGATATTTAATTTAAAAAGACTTTAAACAGGTAACATAATTTAAATAAATAATTCACAGTAATTCTACAGCTGCGATTTTCAACCTGTGGGTCGTAACCATTAGCATGGTCCCCTAAGACCATCAGAAAACACAGATATTTACATTACAATTTATAACAGTAGCAAAATTAGTTATGAAGTAGCAACGACAATAATTTTATGGTTGGGGGTCACCACAACATGAACTGTATTAAAGGGTTGCAGCATTAGAAAGGTTGAGAACTACTGGTTTAGAGCATCTTCTGGTACACTGAAAGGTGGTCGGTTTTATTCTCAGGGCATATACCTAGGTTGCAGATTCAATCCCCATTTGGGGCATGTACAGACGTTTCTTCCACTTTCTCTCTGAAATCAATAAAAAGCATATCCTCGGGTAAGGATTTCAAAAAAAATCAAACAATCTAACATTATAACTAAAGGAACTAGAAAAAGTACAACAAACAAAGCCCAAAGTGAGTAGAAAGATATTAATATCAGAGTGGAAATAAATGAAATAATCTAGAAAAATGATACAAAATATCAATGAAACCAAGGGCCAGTTCTTTGAAAAGAAATTGAAAAATAAAATGAGATATATGAAAAATAAAACCAAAATTGCAGAATTTCAAGAAAACAAGTTTTTTATTTATTTATTTTTTAAAATATATTTTATTGATTTTTTACAGAGAGGAAGGGAGAGAGATAGAAAGCTAGAAACGTCGATGAGAGAAACATCGACTAGTTGCCTCTTTTTTTTTTTTTTTTTTTTACTTTTAATATTTTATTTTCAACAATCATCTCTTTTGTTTGTAAGGCTATATTGCTGGTGGACCATGCTCACATTTTATTAAAAATAATTTTAAACTTAAAAAAATTGGTTATAGTTTTGATAAATTATTTCAATAGGTGGCTTTCAAATCGAGTTCCACCTAGCTGTACTGTTCCTAAAACTGAGTCCTCGCTAGCCATAGGGGTCCTAAGTTGTTCTTCAGGAAGTGACTGGCCTGTCACAAATAAGTAATTGGTTTTTGCAGGAACCTATAAAATAAGTTCTAGAAGCATCTCCACTGAGGACACAAACATGAGGCTTCCCTTTTCTCCACATCCTCAATAATACTTTGTTGTTGTTGTTGACTTTAATAATAGCCATTCTGACAGGTGTGAGGTGATACTCATTGTGGTTTTGACTTGCATTTCCCTAGTGACTTTGAGCATCTTTTCATGTATCAGTTAGTCATTTATATGTCTTTGGTAAAATGTCTATTGATCTCCCCTACCCATTTTTTTTTTTTTTTTTTAAGGTCTTTTTTATTTATTTATTTATTTTTTTATTTTACATATTTTATTGATTTTTTTTGCCCCCCTCCTTCCCTCCCACGTATCCCCTCCCTCCCCAGAGTTTTATGTCCATTGGTTGTACTTATATGCATGTATACAAGTCCTTGGGTTGATTTATTGTCTCCCCCAGACCCTCCTCCACTCCCCGTTGTAATTTGACAATCTGCTTGTTGCTTTACTGTCTCTGTATCTATCTTTTGGTTCATCAGTTTATAATGATCTTTATTATCCACAAATGAGTGGGGTCATGTGGTGTTTCTCTTTCATTGATTGGCTTATTTCACTCAGCATGATGTTCTCCAATTCCATCCAGGTTGCTGCAAATGATGAGAATTCCTTCTTTTTTATGGCAGCATAGTATTCCATTGTGTAGATGTACCAAAGTTTTTGGATCCAATCATCAGCTGACGGGCACCTAGGCTGTTTCCAGATTCTGGCTATTGTAGATTGTGCTGCTATGAACATAGGGGTGCATATATCCTTTCTGATTGGTGTTTCTAGTTTCTTGGGATATATTCCTAGAAGTGGGATTACTGGGTCAAATGGGAGTTCCATTCTCAGTTTTTTGAGGAAACTCCACACTGTTCTCCACAGTGGTTGCACCAGTCTGCATTCCCACCAGCAGTGCACGAGGGTTCCTTTTTCTCCGCAACCTCGCCAACACTTGTCGTTTGTTGATTTGTTGATGTTGGCCATTCTGACAGGTGTGAGATGGTACCGCATTGTTGTTTTGATTTGCATCTCTCGGATAATTAGTGACTTTGAGCATGTTTTCATGTGCCTTTTGGCCTTCTTTCTGTCTTCTTTTGTAAATATTCTATTTAGGTCCATTGCCCATTTTTTAATTGGATCATTCATCTTCCTTTTATTTAGTTGTATCAGCTGTCTGTAGATGTTGGAGATTAAACCTTTATCCGTGGTATTATTTGCAAATATATTCTCCCATATCGTGGGCTTTCTTGTTGTTTTGTTGATGGTTTCTTTTGCTGTAAAAAAACTTTTTATTTTGATGTAGTCCCATTTGTTTATTTTCTCTTTAGCTTCCATTGCCCTAGGGGCAGTATCAGTGAAGAAGTTCTTTTGGCATACGTCTGAGATTTTGCTGCCTGCGGATGCTTCTAGTATTTTTATGGTTTCCCGTCTGATGTTTAAGTCTTGTATCCATTTTGAGTTTATTTTTGTGTATGGTGTAAGTTGGTGATCTAGTTTCATTCTTTTGCATGTGTCTGCCCAATTTTCCCAACACCATTTATTGAAGAAACTGTCTTGACTCCATTGTATATTCGTGCCTCCTTTGTCAAATATTAATTGAGCATAGTAATTTGGGTTGATATCTGGGTTCTCGATTCTATTCCATTGATCTATATGTCTGTTCTTATGCCAGTACCAGGCTGTTTTGAGAACAGTGGCTTTGTAATACAGTTTGAAGTCTGGTATTGAGATCCCTCCTACTTTACCCTTCTTTCTCAGGATTGCTGTGGCTATTCGGGGGACTAGTTGCCTCTTGCACACCCCCCTACCGGGGATGTGCCCGCAACCAAGGTACATGCCCTTGACCAGAATCGAACCGGGACCTTTCATCCGCAGACCGATGCTCTACCACTGAGCCAAACCGGTTTCGGCAAGAAAATAAGTTTTTTAAAATTTCTTTATTAAGGTGTTACGTATGTGTCCTTATTCCTCCATTACCCCTCAACCTCTCCACTCATGCTCTTACTACTCCCCCCCCCTCCCCAGTGTTTAGGCTTATATGCATGCATACAAGTCCTTTGGTTGATTTCTCCCCTTTACCCCCACCCTCCCCTATCTTTCCTCTGAGATTTGATGTTCTGATTGATGTAAGAAAAGTTTTGGCCCCAGGCTGGTTTGGCTCAGTAGATAGAACATTGGCCTGCAGACTGGGGGGGTCCTGGGTTGCATTCTGGCCAGGGGCACATGCCAGGGTTGCAGGCTCAATCACCAGTGTGAGGTGTGCATGAGGCAGCCGATCAGGGATTCTCTGGCATCACTAATGTTTCTATCTCCTTCTTCCTCTCCCTTCCTCTCTGAAATATATATATAAACAAGTTTTGATTAATTACTTGAACATAATATGTAAAACATTTTTAGGTTCTTAAAGCTGCAGGACTGAAAAAAGATGATATTGCAATGTGGGAAGTAAATGAAGCCTTCAGTCTGGTTGTACTAGCAAACATTAAGATGCTGGAGATTGACCCCCAGAAAGTGAATATCAACGGAGGAGCTGTTTCTCTGGGACATCCAATTGGGTAGGTAAAATCACAACGAAAAATCTCTTAAGTAGATTAATGGACGCCATGGTGTTTCTATCTAAGAGTGTTTCATGATAACTCCTATTACTCTGTGTTAAACAGATTTCTTTCTTACCCGTCATAAGGCAAACACCATTTATGATAGACTGAACACAGATCTGTAACATTTGTTTCTTGAAAATGAATATTTTAGATAAAAGTTTAAGATTGAAGTCTATGCTTGGACCTTTAGAAAAACCATGACCATTATTAAAACAAGTGTCCCCAGTTTAAGAAAAGTAACAAAATTCAGCTATAATTAATGGTAATAAAACTTTTAAAGAATTTAGAAAAGAACTTTTGGGTACTTATACGTTTTATTACTTCATTAAAGAATCAAAATGCTTTCTTACTCCTAGGATGTCTGGAGCCAGGCTTGTCACTCATTTGGTTCACGCCTTGAAGCAGGGAGAATATGGTCTTGCCAGTATCTGCAATGGAGGAGGCGGGGCTTCTGCCATACTTATCCAAAAGCTGTAAGATGACGGCCTGTCACCAGTGTGGCTGACTTCCTTGCATCAGCTTATACTCCAAAGAATTAGCTTGTACTCCTTTTTTATTATTTTCTATTTTAACTTTTTCTAAATAAGACGAAAAGATCAAATCCCCAAACATTTTGAAATCATGAATAAATTTTTTCTTCTGCTTTAAATTTTTGTTAATCTTCAGAAGTTTCCTATTTTTGTTATAAAACTATATTTGAAATGTTAGTATGCAAACTTAGTGGCTTACACGTAGGTAAGCTTCTATTTTAGAGAATCATTTGTTTTTGAGGATGTTAAAGCGTGTCATCTCAGCTAATTTAGATTTAGCAGACCCTAATGTGAAAGTGGCTATATTGGGCAAACTAGCAGGGCCTCATAGCATTAGTTAAGGAGCCACAAACAGTGAGTGCAATACTGTTAGAAAAGGAAAACTCATGTGCTCAGGCTAGAGTAGGTATAATTTCTCATAAACTCAGGATTCAGGATTTGGGGTAGGGTCACACTGAGAAAATACTGAGGTTTGAGCTCTTAATAACTACAGAAGCACAGAGAATGGGAAAGTAGAAACTGTTTAATTGATTTATGGAAGGAGATTGACACTTTCAGTATGCCACAATCCTTGTTCCTTAAAGAGGGTGGGGGCACATTGAGGTGAGAGAAACATCAATCAGTTGCCTCCTGTACAAGTCCTGACTGAGGCTCAAAACTGCAACTGGGGCATGTGCCCTAACCAGGAGTCAAACCTGCCACCTTCTGGTGTGAGATGGCACTCTAAGAAACTGAGCCACACTGGGCAGAGCACAATGCTTGTTAATAAGCAGGATTAAATGCAAAACAAGTTTCTCAAGTTGCATTTCATTTGGGGAAAAAAAAAACAACCCCACACTGTAGGCAGGAAAAACACAACCTCAGCTGCAGCTGAGAAGGGACACCTCCAACTCTGAGATCAATAGTATGGGGAGAGGGAGGGACAGAAAAGGTCATGTATATACATAGCTCTTGGTAAATAATTCACTGTAGATCCTTACCTTTGAAGAAAAAGAATTATCTGGAAAAAAGGAAATATTGTTTTATTGACAAAGTACTTTCAAAAAAAGATCTGTATAATAATTGCTAACTTTTATGGCTTTGTGCTAAGTACTGTCCTAGAAGCTTTATTTGTATTGACTTCTTTGGTAATAGATAATAATGGGACCTACCCTCGCAAAAACCGAAGAGGGTAGGTCCCAGTATTATCTATTATCATACCAGATAGGTAAGGAAATTGAAGCATGGGATGGTAAATTCATTCCAAATACCTGGTAAGTAGATGAGGGCCTATGTAACTCACTATGCTTAGCTTTTCAGTACTCTCAATAAGTATCTGCCCTAACTGTAATTGGAGCTAGGAAAATACATGAAAACCCTAATATGCAAAAAGACCAAATGGCAGAACCACCACTGGGGGGGGGGGGGGGGGCGGCGACGCAGAACATGGCAGGCACTGGCCCTGGTAGGATGGTGGAGCAGATGAGTGGGGGCACTAGACCAAGGAGGGACGCCAGTTGCTGTCATCAGGGTGAGCCTTTTGTGGTTACTGAAAATTCTTAGCTCCCATGAGCCACTGTCCCTCTGGTCTTAGGCGACCCACAGGTTGAGAACTGCTGCTGTAGAGCCTAAGACCATGGGAAAACCCAGGTATTTACATTACGATTCATTAACAGTAGCAAAATTACAGTTATGAAGTAGCAACGAAAATAATTTTATGGTTGGGGGGTCACAACATGAGGAACTGCATTGAAGAGTTGCAGCATTAAAAAAATTGAGTACCACTGTCTTAAAAGAAAAAAAAAGTTAAATGTGAAAAAAGAACTCTGAAAAAATAGGAAACAGAAATTTAACCAATCAGAAAAGTATATAGTCATTACCTTGGTTGTGTAGCTCAGTTGCTTAGGTGTAGTCCAGTGCACCTAAAAAGGTGGTCAGTTCGATTCCTGGTCAGGCATTTGTGGGCTCGATTCCTATTAAGGGTGTGTAGGAGGCAGCCAACTGATGTTGCTCTCTCACATCTATGTCTTTCCCCCCCCCCCCACTTCTTTTCTCTTTGAATTAATAAAAACCTTTTTTTTTTTTTAAAGGAAGAAAAAGAAGAAAAACATGCCCTGTCAGGTGTCACTCAGTGTTTAGAGCATTATGGTTTGATTCCCAGTCAAGGGTTATAGGTCTGATCCCTGCCCAGATTGGGCATATGTGGGAGGCAACCAATTGATGCATCTCTCTCCCTCTCCTTCCCTCCTCCTCCCTGCCCTTCCACTCTCTCCAAAAATCAATGGGAAAAATATCCTCAGGTGAGGATTAACAACAACAACAAAAATCCCAAAAAACAACAACAAAAAAGAAAAGTATGCAATTGTCAAATATAAGAGATGATTTTGGTTAGAAAAAAATTAATCACATCTAATTTAAAGAGAATAAAAGTAAACATTAGAGGGGAAAAATCTTTAATTCAGAAAAGGCTAAAAGCCTGACTAGACTAATAAGCTAGGAGGAAATTAGAGGTAAACTGAGTTTCTTCTGCAAAAGCCTCCAGGCCTAGATGACTTATTGGTGTTTTAGTTCCAAGGAACAGTTATTTCCCATTCTAAATAAACTGTTGCAGAAAATAGAAATAAGAAACAGCATGAGCTAGAACAGCAGCTAGATGTTAGAGTGCTTATGTTCCAGACATTGACCTAAATGCTTTACAGATATTGTCTTACTTAAATATTGCACTGATATTAAAGCAGATATATTTATCATTCCAAAATTAAGATAAACTAGAAAAAGATGGAAATGAGCTTTTCAAATTCATTTGAAAAACTAGCATAAGCTTAAAACCAATCTCATTAGAAGGAAACATTTAAATAAAATGTTAAACCAAATTTAGTTATATCTGAAAAATCATCAAGATTACAAAGTATACAATATTAGGTTATTAATAGAAAAACAAATTCATGGGTTTAATAAACATTTTAACTGTTAGAAAAGAACCTAATTAAGTTGAACAGATACTCCTAATGTAAATTCTTAAAACACTATAAACAAAGGCCATCACACTTAACATTCTCACTAAAATGAGAAAACTGCTTTAATTATTATTGAGTTAGGAATGTTAATCAGAAGAAATAAATTTGGGAAATAATTATTTAAAGGTATTCTAGCCTTAGTAAGCAAAAACTAACCATGAAGAAAGCCATTTTCTCTAAGAATTTCTCATTAAGAGGCACAAATATAAAATATGAAGTAAACATTTCCTATAGTAATAAACATGGCATGTTACTGGCACATCTTTAAAATATAGACTAACGGAACAGACTAGAGTCCAGAAACACGTGTGTACGCACACACATACACACTTATCAGCTGATGACAATGGTAACAGTGCAATGTATTTGGAAAATAATAGTTTTTCTTCAGTAAATGTTGCTGGGTTAATTGGATATCCATATGGAGAATCAATTCCAGATAGATAATCCATGAAAATATAAAAAGTTAAACAATAAAATTTTAAGTATTTAGATATCTACTATCCATCTGAAAAGGGACTTGTGTGTAGAATACAGAAAGAATGCCTACATATCAGTGATTAAAGGCATACAATCCAATGCAAAAGTGAGCAAAAAATACCAACAGATACTTCACAAAAGGAGATAATACAAGTGGCCAATAAGCATCTGAAATGCTGGTCAAGTTTATCAGGAACAATCAAACCAAAACCACAATGTGAATGAAACTAGACCACCTCCTTACACCATACACCAGAATAAACTCAAAATGGATTAAAGACTTAAATGTAAGTTGTAAAATCATAAAAATTCCAGAAAACATAGGAAGTAAAATCTCAGATATTTTTCGTGGCAATATTTTTTTTCCTGATGAAATGGGACTATATCAAACTAAAAAGCTTCTGTACATCAAATAAACTATAAACATAATGAAAAGACAACCCACTGAATGGGAGAACATATTCACCAATGATACATCTGATAAGGGGTTAATTTCTAAAATTTACTAATAAGTTATACAACTCAACACTGAGAAAACAAGCTAAATGAAAAATGGGCAAAGGACCTGAACAGACAGTTCTCCAAAGAGGACATGCAGATGGGCAATAGACACATGAAAAGATGCTCACCATCACTAATTATCAGAGAAATATAAATTAAAGCCACTATGAGATATCACATCATGCCTGTCAGAATGGCTACTATCAATAAATCTACAAATTAATGCTAGAGAATGTGGAGAAAAGGGAACCCTGGTGCACTGTTAGTGGCAATGCAGATTGGGGCAGCTACTGTGGAAAATAGTATGGAGTATCCTCAAAACATAAAAAATGGAACTGCCTTATTACACAACAATTCCATTCTGGGAATATATCTGAAGGAATCCAAAACATTGGTTTGAAAGAATTTAAGCATCCTTATGTTTATTGCAGCATTATTTACAACTAGAGGCTCGATGCACAAAATTCATGCAAGGGGCTCCATCCTAAAAACCCAGCTGCCTCTGCCCTGGCAGCTCTGGCTTCATTCAGAGTGTTATCTGGAAGATCATCAAATGGTCACTCTGTTGTTCTAATTAGCATATTAGCTCTTGAAACTTGGGCTAAATGGGTGTGTGTGTGTGTGCGCACGCGCACGGATGCATCCTGGCTCGCACCCTCTCCAATCAGAAATCCCTAACGCAACATGGGACCGCAAGTTCCTAACAGCTCACCTGCCTGCCCTTAACCCCTCTGCCTGCCTGCCTAATTGCTCCTAACTGCCCTCCCCTGCTGGCCTGATCTCACCCAAATTGCTCTGCCTGCCTGACCACCTGATCTTGCCCCCAGTGGCTGTCCCCTGATGGCCTGATCGCCCCTAACTGCCTGTCTCAGCACCCACCACCATGGCTTTGTCCAGAAGAAAGTCGTACATTCAGAAGATGGCTGGTTGACCCAGCCTAATTAGCACATTACTCTTTTATTAGTATAGA